GATTTCTTAGAATATTTATTAGTATTCAACAGAATATTTAACACGTCATTTCACATGCAATCACATGAACTATATTCGTGATATTATGATACTTTAAGTTGCGTATCATAATATCACGAATACAGTTCACGTGCAATTCCCCGTCCCTCTCCTCGCCGTCCCACCTCTTCCTAACGTCGTCGTCGTCCAGTCACCTGCAAATTACATGAGACCATCGGTGAACAAACTGAAACAAGTGGCTTTCTCCGTTCCACTGCTCGAAACCGAAAGCAACCATTCGGTTGCTTGAAACCGAAATTCCACTTCCGGTGGTCATTTTCAGAGGCGAAACTGAACACGACCGAACTCTCGGCGGCAACCGAAGATGGAAGACCATCGAACTTGAACCGATCTTCCAGTGAGAAAATCTCCACTGCAACGTTCACCTTGAATTGTGAGGAAACGACAAAACATTCCTCCGATAAACCTTCTTCATTTCGACATTTAAATGAATCCATTAACGTGTAAAAACACGAAACACGTAATTATATCAATCGCAAAACAAGAAACGATACACAAAACGAAACGAAATATACGGCAAAAGGCAAATCTCCTCAAAAATTCCGCCCAAATCCTCAAACAATGCTAACACCTACACCTCACCATCACCACCAACAAACCGCTCACCACCATCACACCAGTCAAAACTGAACCCGACTCAATCTTCAATCGCAAATCAAATCCCAACCAAACCTGCCCTACAAACCAAATCAATCCCTCTCAATCTTCTCAATATCAAAACTTCACCAATTCATTAAACAAACGCCAGCCATTCTCTAAATCTCCTCAATCCACACCCCAAAAATCAAACCAATCTCCTCAACCACCCAAATCTCCAACGCCTTCGAACAAACCAATCTCTCAAATCAATACCAACAATAGGTACGTCCAATAACCAGTACCACTCAAACAATAGGTAGATATGTCCAATAATAATAACAATCTCCACTAATCAGTACCAAATCAGCTTCACCAACACCACGATACATCTAATCTCCATCCAACCTATCCACCGCACCCGACCACAACTAAACACCACTCCTCACCAACCTCCCTACCCATACTCTCTGCATAACTATCAAATACAACAATAAAAAAACCGAATCAATAACAAAACAACGACTACAACAATATCGATAACAATTCAAATGTAACTACACTATCGAATGAGCAATAATCAACGCGATTAAACAACTATGTTCACGGGTACATACAAATATCACCTCAAAAATATTGCATTCGACTCGATTTCGATCACATTAAACAAAACAATTCAACAAAATCATATCATATCAAACCACAAACATTCCATAACACTCCATCCAAAATCTCCTCACAAAGCCACTAAAAACACATTAACGAATAAACAAAATCGCGTTCGAAACACACATTTGCAATCAAAAAAAAAAATTCA